GGGGACGCGATTGCGGCTGCACGGGCGGGCGGGGCCGGGCCGGGCCGCGCGCTGCGCCCTCAGAGCGGCGGCGGGGCCCGTCCCCGGTGCCAAAGCCCTTGGCGGGGACACAGCGCCTGGGCCACGGGGCGGTCGGGCCTGGAAGGGGCATCTCGAGATCATCCAGCCTAATCCTGCTCTCAAAGCAGATTCACTTAGAGCAGGTTGCACAGGACTGAGGGAGAAGGAGAACTTCTCCTTCAGGAATGGTCAGCCCGCGACAGAAGCGTTTGCCTTATGGAAGGGAAACAACCCTTGTGATGCTGTAGATAGGAAAACCTATCAATGCTCGGCCCGTCCTGTTATTCTGTTCTTGTTCTTCTGTCATTACAGAAGACTCATGATTTCACCGTCTTTGATTTTCCTACTCACTGCTCTCTTTTGCCATCCCATCTATGATGTACTTTACCCCTCTATTTTTCCTACGTTTATATCTATCTATAGGATATATATATTATATAGAACTAGGAAATTCCTTAATTCCCCCATAGCTTTTTGTGCTGTGGGCTGACAAGACTCTTATCCATTGGATTTGTAGTTTCAAAGCTGTCCCTGACAAGTGTGGAGGTATTTGTCTCTCTGCAAAATAGCTGCAGAGTGTTGGAGTTCTCTTTGCTAGTCTAAATTTTGTTAACTTTTATTTGTGGGGGTTTTTTTAAATTTTGAGATCTAAGTGTATGTGATTGTCTCCTTGCTATGTTACATTTTTTTAAGTGCAGCCAGATGGCAGTGAAACCTTTGCTATGCAGTTCAGTTACAAAAAAATATTTTGAAGCATGTCCCAGTTTGTGCTTCCATTTATTTCTGTTCAGTATTTTCAGTCTAAATAGTATGAGGTGTTTGAATGAGACTGCGTATGTATCACAGATCTGTGTGAAAACACTACTTAAAATATGGCTTCTAATGTAAGCCATCCACAAATTGAAGTTTATAAGAATTGAGTTGTATCAGATAAATATCTAATTATAATTTTTTTTTTATACAAGCAGAACTTTATAGAGGTTACAACTGCATCCTGCATTATAGTGTAGAAAAGCACTAATTTTATGAATGGCCAGACTCAGTGAGGCAGGCTGGGTTCTAAACTGTGCTTAAAGTAGCCTGGAAGTCCAGGAATAATAGACAGGAGGACTCATCCAAAAATTTTATTAAGGAGAAAGGTCTCGGCTGAGTGACACTTTTTCACCCCACACCTTTACAAAAAAACAAACAAATGAAAAAAACAACGCTTGGAGTCTGGTAAGTTTGCCTTGGTCCTGGGAAGGTGTTGCTTGCTCTGTAGATAATCAGTTGGCCAACCTTCCTGCATTCTTGGTTGCTGATTAGTCCTGCTCTGCATTGGGCATTTCTTCCTGACTTTGGAAGGTAAAACTGAAATAAACTGGAATTATTTGCCTTTTTATCTTGATTGAGAGCAGGAGTGGAGGCTGCTTTGTTGTCCACAGAAAGAAACACAGAGCTTCTGTCAGAGTTAATAAAAAAAAATTCGATGAAGTTTTGGTGTTAAAATGAGCATTTTTATTAGGAGAAAACGATTGCTTTAAGTGAGGTATTTCCCAGCCCAGTCTCACTTAGAACAGCTGTCTCTCTCACAGTGATTAAGGTTTGTAATTTTAAAGGCTGTTAGGATGAGTGTGTTTACAATGAAGCTCTATTTTTGATTGTGTGTTTTGCTGTACAGTGCGGGGCCTGTGGAATTTTGCCATTGCTTTTTACTCCGTTCCAGACAACCTTAGTGTTTTATTTTGTTTGAAACTGAATTTCCTCTGATGAAATTCCAGCAGCGGCACGACTGTGGGCTGTTGCTCTTGTTATTTGTGGAGAATGTGAACTACAGCTCCCTGTATCTTTTTGTTGTTTCCATTTTGCTTTGCGGAGTCAAGGCCAGTGCGAGATGTTCCCTCAGCAGCACTGGTCACACAGTCGTGATGGGTCACACAGCTGCCAGGGGGCCGTGGCAGCCAGGTAACAGCATCAACATGTCTAAAACAGTGGCCTGATGTCTGCTGAGGCACGCTGTGACAAAACCTCGACTTCCTCATCTATAACTCATTTAGCAAAGAGCTGCCGCACTTCAAGGGTTCACTGACCTTCTGCCAAAAGTTGCAAAGAGGTAGCAGGGGAGAGAGAGCACGATCTTGGAGTGATCCACACTCACTTCACTGAAGTCCAGTGGCAGCCAAACAACTAGAGGCAGAAGCCTGAGGGAGACCCCTGAACTTCAAGCTGAAAAGGCTGAGGGTCACTCAAATTCTGTTCTCCCAGCTTTGCTGATAAGTCAGGGACCTCTGCCTGAGGGGAGGTGACAAACAGGTAAGGGGAGTTAAATCAGTCAGTTACAGCTAAAACTCTGCAGCTGTTTGCCCTTGTCTACAACTTCAGTGCTAATTCACGTTACCTGTTGCCTATCTCTTGCTTGTAAACTGCTCATCAGTTGCTGAAACTGCTTTTGCTGTAAGGATCTTGAAATACCACATGGAATCATGGAAGAAGAGGGAAAAGATGACGAATGTCCAGGTTTTCTGAGAATTAAGGGCAGCCTGTTATATTTTGTCTATCCAGGAAGGCTTTTGGTAGGACTTTCCAGAGATGTAATGAAAATTGCAGAGGTTTAAGGCTGGTGAAAATTACTGTGAATGTGGCTGGAGCTTTGTACCTTGTGATTACAATGATTAAGGGGGAACTCCTTTGTGTGTGAAGTGTGATAGCAGCATGTTCTTTGCAGTGTGACTTGCATAGCTGCAGTTTATCTTCACAGTGGAGTGCCTTTTTGGTTAGAAAACTTTTCTGCTTGCACTGTTGAGTAGCTGATTTAAAATTAAATAAACACCCCCACAAAAGTAATCTCTGTTGGGGACTGAAAAACCTAGTGAAAGGCACGTTGGAAGAATGATGTTCTGGACAGCATAATATGGACTATGCTCTAGGGGTTATGTGATCAAGCTGAACAGCTTACCAGTGGTTGTAAAAAGATTTAAGGAAAGCATAGTCTCTGAACTGTGATGAAATGCCTTCTGTGATACCTGTCAGAGCTCCACTAACGTTAGGAGGGAAAGGTAAGATTCACTGATGAGAGAGGCGATAGTGGATCACTTTAACAGGCCCTTAGGCACAAGCTTAACTGTGCAGGATGCCTGGGCTTTTGAAGAAAATAAAAAATATTCTTTGTTCTTGCTTCATAGCAACAGTATTTTCACACTTTAATGTCCCTGGTCACCTTATCTATGCTTGCTTTTGTCGTGGCTGATCAAATCAACCCTAAATTATGTAAACCTGCAGAGTTGGTAGTGTGATATAAGCTCAAAATGTACTAGACAGCATTAGAGCTGTATGTTTTCCAGAGATGTCAAATGTGTAATTAGAATTTAGTTACTAACATGATGATTAAAATTCAGCAGTTGTTTTATGCGTAATTTATATAGAAGTGTTGGTTACAGAGTGAGAAATGAGGTAGGTGGACTAACAAAATTTTGCAATCAAAGTTGCAATTTAAGATAGTCCATAATTAGTGTGCTCTCCAAATTGGTCATGCACACACTTCAGGAATCATAGTGAGGAACAAGAAATGCTGCTGTGTTCAAATTACTTATGAATTTGTGGAAATAATACTTTGAGGTAGTTAAGAACTGTTCGCAGTTTGTGCTACTCATTATAAATTCCATACCACTGTTGTGTGGATACATCTTCTAATTAATCACTGTACTTCAAGCAAGGAATTTTACAGAAATGTTTATGTTAGTACTTAGTTTTTGATGACTGTTCACTTAGAAAAGTACCTCTTGGGATTTCTTGTTGCAATGCCCACATCATTGTGTTTGTGAGAGAGAAGTGTGAATAGTATTGAAAGTGCCATCGCTGGTTTATTTTGTGCTCATTCTCTTTTTGGATGTGCTTAGGTCCCCCAAAACAGTTTAGGTCAATGTTCCCTGTAGATTGAGAATGACAGTAATACTTAGGAAACAATCCCCTCTCATGTACATAATTAAATGGCTTAATAGAGGTGCGTAATTGCTCCAGGTCCTTTCATAGACCATGGTAAGAAACACAAGGCCTGAGGGGAGCCTCCCTAAAAGTTATTTTCTTTGCATTGCCTGGGTGCCACATGCAGATTATACCTGTGTGGTGTCTGAAGTGATATGAAAAGGATGGTGGCCATTGCAGTTCTGCAAAGCTGGAAGGACCTGAGAGCATGTAACAAGCTCCAGTATCACTGCCAACGTCACTGTGAGGGATGAGAATAATCTCCTTTTTTGCAGGTGCAGAATGAGAGCTTTGGTTTGCTCAGAGCTATGCAGGAAGTCTGGTATATGGAGGAAACTCATATATCTGTGTAATGCACTTAAACTGCAAAATGATCCTTCAACTTGGTTGTAAATGTGTAAGAAGGAGCGAAGGAAGAACACGATGAGAAAATATCAGTATTTCATATCCTG